AATTTCACTGATCCGATTAAGAACACCTTCTCCAGTTCGGCTCTATTGATAAGGCTGGAGAGCTTCTTCAACCTTTGAAAGTTCAGAGTTCTAGTTTTTTTCATTTATGAAAGTTTGAGAGTTTAATTTTTTACCATTGAAAGTTTAGAGATGCGATTGTAACAATTATCATCCTTTACCAGTGCAATTTGTGCCTTTCTAAAACGATACCTCAATTGATTTCAAAACACAATGATAATTTCAAGTGCAAACAAATGGAACAAAAAAGAAAATGAAGTGTTTACAATGAAGCATAAAGCGATGTGTTTTCACCTTGAGATTTCACGAAGTTCTTTGTTGTAAAGCCTTTGCAAGACTCCAAAATCAAGCTTGGCGAAGGAGAGCAGAACAGGGTGGTGCAATGGATCAGTCTCATAGAAAGATATGTAATGTCTTATACCAAACCTTGGAATGGCTTTCATTAAAGGCCATTTCAATGCATGCCTCACTTGGGTTGCAAACCCATCCTCGACATGGCTTGCAATGGCTGCCTTTAAACTCGTGGTGCTGAAACCAAAGCCTCGTTCAAGTATATCTTCTCCATGCATCCTCATTTGAGATGCTTCGTACAAGCTTAGCAATCCTTGTGCATCATTTGCAAATGATTCATTGAAATTTCTATTCTCATCTGTAAACTTGTTCAACGTATCTGTATCCAGGAATAAAAATGAGGTGTGGTTCCGTTGGATAATCATTTTTTTGTTTTCCTTATTTTTTCGAAATCAAGGTTTTAAAAAATAGATGTGGTCATCTAAAGTTTTTTCTTTCTTTTTTAGAAAAGAAAAAACTTACCTATAACTAAAATTAGTTTAGTGATGTGTACGTATTTCTTTTTTTTAGACTAAATAGACACATCTTGTATATTGGATTTATAATTTAAACAGGAGGATGAGAAAATTATTCAATTTTCTCTTCATTCTCTCAAACTTAACAACAATTAAAAATTAAAATTCTCTCCAAACTCACTCATTTCAATAATTTTTTTTATAATTTCTTTATGTACAACAGATGTGGGGTATGGCAATTTGAACCTCCGACTCAAGGAAAAAAATATTATTACTATTAAATTAGTTCATAGTCTCTACATATAATAAATCCAATCAATTCATAGATTGACCATTTAATAAATCTCTTAAAGAATCACAAGTTTCAACCAAAATTCAATTGGAGCTAATTTCGTCTTCCTTTGAAATCTCATCAGTTTTGTAATCTTTAATAATATTGTTCAATGAAAAATATAAGAGAACAAGGAAACAAGGAAATAAGTATTTATTACTAAACAAATTTATGTTTTTGTAAATATTTTTTATTAGAAAAACAAAGAAATAAGAAACAATAATTACCAAACACAATTTTCATTTTTGTCTTTATTAAATAACAAATAATAAGAAAAAAATGACAAAAGAAGAAATAGAAGTATTATAAAAAAACAAAGATAAGTAACTCGAGTAATACCACATGAAATAGAGAATCCACGTTGTCTAAGCAAGCGAAACCAAAGAGCAACAACTTGAAGATTTTCGTCACTTTTTTCACCAATCTCATTGTATTTCTTATAAAGATGATCCAATAATTCATTAATCTCAGTTTCGAAATGATAAGCGACTCCCAACCGTTNGAGGCTTTTACTATAATAACATAAAATAAATAATATTTTAAAAATCTAGCATAAAGTTAAAAATCTTACAAAAATAGCATCATTCAAATCAAACCTATAATCAAATGTAACATGTGAAACACACATTAGAAAAATTTATATTTATGCTATATTTGAAAAGAAAAAGTAAAAAAGTTGTAACGTCATTTAAAAAGGTAAATTACACAAACCATCCTTATATAAGCAGTTAATACAATTGCATCCTTAAACTTTCAATCGTAGATAGTAAACCCTCAAACTAATTTTAAAAATGAAAAACATTAGATCCTAAACTTTCAATAGTCAAAATTAAACTCTTAAAACTTTCAAGTGAGAAAATTGCACCACGAAACTTTCAATTGTAAATATTAAACTCTCCAACTTAAAAAAAAAAAAAAAAATCTATTTGTTTAAAATTTACACTCATCCGGTTAAAAACACCTTCTTCAGTTCAGTTCCATTGATAGGGTTTGAAAGCTTCTTCAACCTCTGAAAGTTTAGGCTTTTTTTTTCATTTATAAAAGTTCGAGAGTATAATTTTTTTACTATTGAAAGTGTAAGGGTACAATTGTAACAATTAGCAGGTGGTGCAATGGATCAATCTCATAGAAAGATATGTAATGTCTTATACCAAACGTTGGAATGGCTTTCATAAAAGTCCATTTCAATGCATGCCTCACTTGAGTTGCAAACCCATCCTCGACATGGCTTGCAATGGCTGCCTTTAAACTCATGGTGCTGAAACTAAGGCCTCGTTCAAGTATATCTTCTCCATGCATCCTCATTTGAGATGCTTCGTACAAGCTCAGCAATCTTTGTGCATCATTTGCAACTGATTCCTTGAAATTTCTTTTCTCATCTGTAAACTTTTTCAACGTATCTGTATTCGGGAACAAAAATGAGGCGTGGTTCCGTTTGATAATCTTTTTTTTTTTTTTTTTTTTAAATCAAGGTTTTAAAAAATAGACGTGGTAATCTAAAGTTTTTTTTTTCTTTTTTAGAAAAGAAAAAACTTACCTGTAACTAAAATTAGTGTTGTTATGTGTAGGTATTTTATTTCATTTTTTTAATTTTTAGACTAAATAGACATCTTGCATATTGGATTTATAATTTAAAGAAGAGGATGAGAAAATTATTCAATTCTCTCAAAATTTAACAAAAGTTAAAACTCTCTCAAAGCTCCCTCATTTCATTTTTTTTTAAGTGTAACAAATGTGGTGGGGTGTGGTGATTTGAACCTCGGACCTAAGAAAAAAAATATTATTACTATTGAGTTAGTTCATAGTCTCTTTATATATAATAAATCTAATCAATGCATAGTTGACCATTTAATAAATCTCTCAAAGAATCACAAGTTTCAACCAAAATTCAATTCTAGCTAGTGTCGTCTTCCTTTGAAATCTCATAACTCTGCGTATGTTTTATAATTCACTCAATGCGCATAAGAATAACTTTTTAGTAGTTCCTCAAACAAAAGTCTATCAAAAGGTAAAAATTGTAACACTTATTCAAATACTGTACCGTAAATATTGCAATACTTGTCCACGTCTAGGTCCAAGAAAATTGAAAATACACATGTAAACATATCAATACATTGTCAAATTCAAGTGTAAAAATTTAACTCTTCCCAAAAAATTACTTTAAAGATCAGTCAAACTTTAATAATATTGTTGAATGAGAAATATAAGAGAACAAGAAAAACAATGAATTATTACTAAACAAATTTATGTTTTTTAAAATATTTTGTATTAGAAAAACAAAGAAATAAGAAACAATAATTACCAAACACATTTTTTTGTCTTTCTTAAATAACAAAATAAGAAGAAAAAAATGCAAAGATAAGTAACTCGAGTAATACCACATGAAATAGAGAATCCACGTTGTCTAACCAAGCGAAACCAAAGAGCAACAACTTGAAGATCTTTGTCACTTTTTTCACCAATCTCATTGTATTTCTTATAAAGATGATCCAATAATTCATTAATCTCAGTTTCGAAATGATAAGCGACTCCCAACCGTTGGATTGAATCAATCAAGCTTAGTTGTTGGGAAGGCTTGTCATCAACGCAAGTAATCAACAATTTTCTCACTTCCCGCTTCAGTTCTTCCACTTTGTTCTCAACCTTATTATCTTCCATCTCCTAAACAAGTCATTAACGAAGAATTGAGAAACAAATAAGAGAACTGATCTCGCACTCTAATTCTATAGAGATATTGTTAAGAACAACGGTACTCCTTGTACCCCAAGTATCTCCACAATGGTATGATATCATCTGCTTTGGGCATAGCCGTCACGGCTTTACTTTTAGTTTCACCCAAAAGACCTCACACTAGCGGAGATAATTGTCCTTCCTTATATACCATGGATCACCCCATTCCATGGCAAATGTGAGACTTTGTTTGCATACCTTAAATCCAACACATATCTTTACAAAGAAAAACAATTTTATATACCGCTAAGACAGAATATTTGAAAGTTTAAAATTAAAGTAAAAAGAACTCAGGGGAAAAAGAAACAAGTCAATACCATGGTGTTGGAGAGAAAATAATCTCCCCATGTAGTTGGTGGAAAGTTTGCGGATGGACGAGTATCAACATTGATGGATGATAAATTTTGTGGGAGAATGAGTAGTGAGGCCATTGAGCTCAAAAATGAAAAAGGGATTTGGATTTGTTGAGCTTTAATTTGGTTGGCATGCAAAACAGCTCCGAAGAGCTTGCAATTTATAGAGGTGAAATTTATAGAGGTGAAATTTAAGCATATAATAAATAAATTTAATGTAATTTTTATAGGAAAACTTATAATGGATAAGACTCGGGGTAATTTCAAGAATAATGTAATTTAAAATACAAATTATAAAAATAATGTACTATTAAAAGTAATAACAAAACAAATGTAGGTTAAATAAAAAATTATTAGACATTCAAACTATTTACAAAAATAGGTTAAGTATTGATCAAAGTAAAAAATCGCATACAATGAATGCGATAATTTAGGTACCGACACGTCATATATGAGATGAATATTGAGAAATAAGTCAGCAAGGGAAATCACCTACATTTTAATTGATTTCTATTTATGGGAGTCGCGTACAATATACAAAATTTCCATTTAAGGAAATATTGCCATGTACGGAAGTCGTGTACAATTATGCGATTTCCATTTATATATTTAAATTTTACAAATAAAATATTATTTTATTAGTATTTTATCCTTTTAAATATATAATTAAAAGTATAGATTCATAGGCATACATATCTATATATCTAACAACAAAAAAATATTTTATAGAAAAAAACGGTCTAATTTATAGAAAAATATCACATATATATGTAATGTGTATAACGTACACAATTTTTTAAAATATATTCTTTTATATATTTATATATATGTTGTTTTTTATAATTTTGCAATCAATTTATTATTTATTTTATTAGTGTTTTGATTATTTTCAATATATAAGTAAAGTTATAGATCCACCTCCATAACAACAAAATATATATATATATATTTATATATATATTTATATATATATTTTATAAAAAAAGAATATTTATAAATAAAAATAGATGGGTGTAATTTATAGAACAAAAAAATATCAATATATATAATAGAAACATACGAATTGAAAAAAAGAATTACTTAATATTTATATAGGGTAAAAATAAAACAATCATAAGAAATAGAAATGCATACCAATGAAAATTAATTTTATCACTATTATGAACTTTTGGAAGAATACATTATTAAAAAAATATATTAAAATTTAAAAGAAAAAAGAAAATATAAGTAAATAATTTGAAAAAAGATTCCCTTATGACCCAAGAATTTTGCGGTGTAACTTCGTGTACACAAACCAGTTGGTGAGTGAGAGACATGGGAATCATATTGAAATTGGGACGATGCATGGGGGCACTTGAGTCCGTTGTCGGTGCCCGACTGCGTCTTGACCCCTATCCAATTTTTGGGATCTAAGTTGCCCAAAACAAGGATCCTTTTCCTTAGAGATAAAATAATGCAAAGCACAACTATAGGTAAATGAATGGAAGCACATCTTGCACCTTCTATGATCCATTCAACCTGCCTTCAAGCTGAAGCCACATCACATGGACATGGCTTCAACCTTGGATGAGTTTTATTTGAATTGCAGCCAATGGCTACGATTTCCGATTTTGTAAATACTTTTGAAACTACATTCTTTATATCATTATTCTTAAAAAATGCATTATTTAAAAAAAATATATCCCAAAACTCGTTGCTATTTATTTGCAAAGTTGTTAAACAATAAGGAAAATTGTAAGAACTAACTCTAAAATATGGTGCTTGTTGTTGCAATTATTATATATGTCAATTACCCTGAGCTATGCATGCTTTGGCAATGGTTCTTATTGTTATTAGTGCAGGTTAATAATTATATTTATTACAATACTTGTGAAACTCAACCTACATTAAATATCACAAAAATAATTTCATCATAAAATGTCAAATTAATTTCTCATTATACTTTTAACCCTTTAACACTAGCCGATTTAATTATGGTTAACACTCTACCTAAAAAATAAATAAATAATAATACTTTCAACAACTTATTTATAAAAAAAAAAATTTTAAAAAGTGGGTTTAATATAATTTTTATGGAGAATATTTATGAGTATATTAATGGTTATTAAATATTCACAATTATATAATATTTTTTTATTTCATTTATTTTCATTAATGTTTCCCTTAATTGCTCTTAAATATGCACAATTATATAACATTTTATTTTTTTTATTAATGTTATGGGAAGAAAAATACAGAACGGACGAAGCGACAGAAGATTGGTGCAAATTTGGCGAGATCTCAGGAGACCAAATTTCTGCATCAACAATTGGCGCCGTCTATGAGAACGACTAAGATCAAGTCAAGACGATCAAATTGGCCGAGTACTGCTCGGATCCGAGGAAGTCTATGGGAAAAGCAAATCAACAGATCGTGAGACAGAATCCAAAGGAGAAACAAGCAACATGAATTCTAGAGATAAACTACAACATTTCCGACGACAAATACCATACGACTCGGAAGCTGTCTTTACCCGAGATGGCGAGGGTGAAGCATATCGACAACTTCTTAAGCAGGTCTTGGGCGACACAAGACGACATATTCTAGGACAGGAAGAGCGACTGACGAAAATTCTCGAGTAGAACAAATTGGCCGCTTTAATAGAGAAGGTCGTAGGGATGGACCAGAGCATATCCCTTCTCCTCAAAAGGCTTCAACAACCAGAAAATAGGCCACCTACACTTGACTGTATGGCAGAGCCCAAGAGACTTATCCACAGAGCCAACAACAAAAGAATATCGACTAGACTCAGGGTATAAAACCATTGGCAAAAGCAAATAGGTTGGACAAAAACCTAAATAGTTAAAATTAACTGTACGGTAGAGCCCAAGAGACTTGATTACAGCCAACTACAATAAAATGGTATGGGGGCTAAAAGACTGATCCATGAAACGATAGCCAACCACGATGAAAGGGTATGGGGTCTATTCCATAAAAAAGCCACCCATGGAACGACCGAGCGACAAGTACTCTCAATATAGAAGTCTTAACATTTTACTTATGCTTACGGGCTCCTATTTTGAGGGTGGGGCTACTGTTATGTGAAGAAAAATACAGAACAGATGAAGTGATAGAAGGGGAATCGTCGAAGACCGTCGACCCCGACCAACCCAGACCGACCAGGCCTCGGTGCCGAGGTGTTCTCGACCAAAAGGCCGAGAACCCTAACTCAACTCCCCTTTATCCTCGTGCAGTCCAATCTGAAATCCTGCCAGATCTCGACCCTTGATTTGACATTAGATTCACGATGAAGCATATGGGCCCAGAAGTCCATATCTCCTAAAGATACTAGGTTCGACTTCTGTAAAACCTAGGAAGATTAGGATTCAACTTCTATAAATAGGGAAGTAAGCCAAACCCTAGAGGTATGCTAAAACCCCCTACTCTCCTTTTACTTTCCTCACTCGACTTCTCCGATACTAACTTAAGCATCGGAGCTCGTGTGGCCAAAGCCACATCGATSCTAGTAATATTCTGTTTTGCAGGTCACATGGATCCCTTTCACACTTAGAAGATTGGTGAAATTTTGCAAGATCTCAGGAGACAAAATTTATGCATCAACAATTAACTTTTCCGTTTAATATTTCATTTATTTTTGTTAATTTCCCCTTAACTTCTCCTTATTTTATTTCGATGTTTAATTTTCCATTTTATTTTGGGCACTTGTAAAATTAGCATAAAAAACTAGTACTTATTTGTAAAATTAATTAGCAACTGCATCTCAATTTTGAAAAAAAAAATTTGGAGGCCTAACTATCCAAAATATAGAAAAATTCCAATTTATACTTTAGTCTCTCTCATTTTGATATGCCTCATAGTCCTACCATTCAGTTTTTGTATATCATTGATATAGCTTATATTCATACCATTTAGTGTTCGATATACTATTGATATACCCCAAAGTTGTACTATTTAATCTCTAATATATTATTGATATACCTCAAAGTCATATCATTTTGTTTTTAATTTACTATTGATGTACCTTATTTAATTCTTGATATATATTTATCTTGATATACCATTGATATAAAACTAACTCTATGATATATGGTTGACACATATCTTATTTAATTACTGATATACCTTAGTATTGATATACCCATTCATTGGCCTGATTTAATTTAATATTGATATACTTGATTTGAATGTTCATATACTTCATGTGAATGTCGATAAACCAAAAATGTACTTGAGTGTTGATATGTTATGTTTTGCTCCAAAAATTTCTCAATTGGAATTACGGGTTGAAAGCTTAGTTTCACTCAAAATTATAAATCTTAGATAAGATCATAGAAACATTTTTCCTAACCTAGATGGAATTGTTCAAATAATGAATCTTTGGATATTTTTTTATCATTTGTAATTAAGAGATGTCATTCAAGATTGTTGGTACATTTAATTAGGAGGTTATCTAATAAAAACTTTGACCTTTAACATGCAAAGAAATATAGTAGGTTAAAAGAATTATGTTTGATCACTTGTCTAAATTGTGATGAATAAACCCTAAATTCGATAAATTTATAGGGAACAGAAAATAAGAGAAATTTAGATTTATGACCCCTCCAATAATTCATTTTGGATTTATGACCCTCTTTGAAAAAAACTAGTTTATGACTCATTCATTCTAATTTGTGACACTTTTCCACTTTGTATCTTTCTAAATTTACCAAAATATCCATGTTTTTTAAACTAAAATTATCCACCAATCTCCCCTTTAACCCTTACAATTTCTTTTTAATTTGAATATAATACGGAAAAAAATCAACATTTTAATTTATGAATCAATTACCAATTGATAATTAACAACGGAATCCACAAAAAAATTCCTCCAATGAGGAGAGAGAGATTGTTGATTTTGAAACATGAGAGTACTACAGTAATTTTACATTTAAAAATTATGAAAGGGGTCAAAAAATAAGGTCTACGTGATTTTTTAAAATATTTATATATTTATATTTTACAAATAAAATATTATTTTATCAGTATTTTAGTCATTTTAAATATATAATTAAAAATATAAATTCATATGCATACATACACATCTAATAACAAAAAATATATTTTATAGAAAAAAACAGATCTAATAACAAAAAATATATTTTTTAGAAAAAAAC